AAAAAAAATTAATAATAAAGACAAGGGATGGGGACACACAAAAGGAAGGGGTTTCAATAATGACTAATATATAGATTAATGAACAGTGGTTTAAATCAGCTTACATAGTTACAATTCTATATCACCAAATCATTACACGTTGAACAATAAAAACACCAACAACAGGATCCGACGGAACCAAATAAACCCCATAGTTATTCCAAACACTAAAGTGAGTTGAAGCAAATTGGAAATGTAAGTTGTTCTACACACAGTAAGATCGTTCGGGGCTGCTCGCGCTCTCATGCAAGGTGAACTTGTCGGCATTTCGGTTCTGGACTGCTCTTATGGGTGGGCTCAGTCTATCAGTATAGGTTCTCTCTGTAACGGCACGAGTGAGCAGAAATTATTTTGAGCCCTGAGCGGGGATTTACCGAAGGGCAAGCTACTGAGACTCTCTCAGCTTTTGTCCGTTTTTTAGAGTTCTCATATTCTCTTTTTTTGTTACTTACAATAAAAGGAGAGGGAATAAAAATATTTGAATAGCCTTCTCATAATGTGCTAGCCTGGCTCACAGAAAAAGAGTTGGAAAAGAACAACTTGACTCCTACTGTACAGAGCTGCAGAATATCTTTGCACATAATATGTAGTGCCACTAATAAATTAAAGCGAACTCTATTACAAATATTATTTGGTCTGGGGGCAGACTGTAAAAGATGGCTTTCCAGCGGCAGAAAGCCACAGGCTGCTCACCTCTGCTCTAAAACACTTTTGTCTGTTATCAGTGTTTGTCCTGTAACATTCTGGTAATATGATAACTCTGGTGCTTTGCTTGTGAAATAGACCTGTGCTGGTTGGCTGATGTGAAATAAGGCATGTCCTGCACTGCAGTCACCAGGCAACCAGGAAAGGGTCGGTGGTCTGGCCAGCCGTGCACAGTGCCAGCTTTAAACAAACCTGCGCAGTGTCCAGTTAGACCATTTTCTTTTTCCCCCACCACAAACGTCATGTATTTTCTGGTATATTATTTTATTATTTATATAGCGCCAACAAATTCCGTAGCGCTGTACAATGGGGTTATATATACACACACACACACACACACACACACCAGAGAGAGGTGTATGTACCGAAGGGAATTCAATAAAGTCCAAGGCTAAGTTTTTTTTTTTGCACCGCCATGAAAGCAGTAACAAAATTAAGTGAGAGGGTGCAAAAAAAATTGAACAGCTGGGGAAAATTAAATAAAAATTAAAGTAATCCAATATAGATTGCACCAGAAGGAGGAGCAAAACTGTGTGTCACGTTGATAAATCTCCCCCAATGTCACTGAAAAGTAGTGCAATGAACTTAAAGGAGAAATAAAGACAAACAGTCCTCTAAAAACATATTGCTTGGATGTCTACTACATTGCTAAACACTATCAGAAGGCAAAACCAGATCACAATAAGACAGCAATACATTAGGTTTACAATGGTTGTAGATGCCAACATTGATTTCATGGAATTGGTGTTTCGGAAGTTGATACACAATTGCTTAATGCAGGCACACTTTGTACCAACTGTTATGTCAATATGAATCTGCACGATTCAGTAATAAATGAACTAACCAATAGAGAAGCCTTGTAGACCATGCGAGCATTGGATCACTGAGAACCTTCTCAAGTGCAGGTGTTATGCACCAATGTCTGTCTTTGAGTCTGGTTCCACCGAGTTAAACTAGTATAAAGAATAGGGGCTGCGCAAACAGTAGATCCCCAGATGACGTTCCATGATGCTTTGCCATTGTAAGGTCTATGAAAGCATTAGAGTAGTTATAGTCCTAAGCTGCGGATCTACCATTTGCCCAGCCATGATGAAGACACATCTCCTAGCTGTCGCACAGCCAGGAAGTTGTTTCTAGTGTTTATAGAAGTGCTCATTTCTACTAAATTTGGTACTTTTATACAATGAAACAAGAGGGTACACTCTAAAGCATATTATAAGTTTGGTGCGTTATGTTAAAGTTTCCTTATTTTTCCCCAATAGCCCTAGGCAACGCTCCCAAACTCCGGATCTTTGAGGCGGACAGATAAGGTGGCTGTTTCGTTCACAAAATCAGCATACAGCAATTTAACACTTCTGATGTCGGATTTGATATAGAACTCTAAAATGAGTCATTTGTGTCACAGGGTTAGACTGATATTACAAAGAAAGACACTTGGTTGTAAATTCAGCATCTAGCAGCTAACTAAACAATTACAGAAAATGTTTTTATTTTCTCTCTTTTTTTTTTTTTGCAGTAATAGAAAGCATGGCTGCTCAGGCACACAGCTTGAATTTCAAAAACATCCAATGACTTCCTGATTCTGCACGTGAACCCACATGCTTGTACAGGTACTCATGGGAAGCCAGTAAAAAAAAGGCTTCAATCTGAGTGAAATTATGTTTTGGTTTTTTTTAAAGCAAAACTCTATCACTTCACATCAATGCTTGACACATCCAAGTATAAAAGTCTTCATGGCAACTAAAAAAAAAAAATAGGACCTGACACCAAGAATTTCCACTGCCGGAGAGATCAAGTGTTTGCACTGTTAAATTAAAATTTAAAAAAATAGCCGCTAAACTGCACAGAAAAATATATTTTATAAACAACTCCCTCCATTCCCCAAATTACTGTGGTCCAGTCTTTCCTGACTTCTGTCAATATATACAGAGAGACTCAACCAACAGGCAGTGGATAGGGATCTCCACCTCCAATTCCCAACAGTATAAGAACAAAGTCCACCATTGTGTATTCATTTTAATTAGCCTTTATTGCAACCACCACAAGTCTGTTTGCCAAATCCACCATGTTGTAAAGTGATGCATACTACAGTTCAACACTTTTTATGTGCTGTCCATCAACATGTGTAAGTGATATGTGCCCAGAACAAGATGGTGGATCTGGAATCCCTAGCCACAAGCAACGTATGTATGTATGTATGTATGTATGTATGTATGTATGTATGTATATCTTTATTTTATTTTATTTTTTAAGCCTGAAGAAGTGCATACAGGGTCAAAAACTTATCAGATCCCTTGAGGTGGCTATACAAGCAACATTTCATACAGGGCTGTTTTATGAACTTATATATATTATATATTAAAGGAATACTGCAGACACCATAAAAACTCAAGTGAAATGAAATGGAGGTCTCTGGCTCTCTTACCTGACATGGTTTAACACCAAATTTTGCATCCAGCAACGAATCTCCCTTTCCACAGCAGCATCTGGCCTCTTCAATTGAATTCGAGGAAACACAATGTGCAGCTGGTGATTGGCTACAGCGGTTACCGATTGGCATAAGTTTGGGGATAAGCCATTCAGGTAAGAAAGCCCCAGAGCCCTCCTCGCACCCTAACTTCATTTTGACAAAGTTGTTATGGTGCCCAAAGTGTTCCTTTAAGTTAAAGGTAAACTGTGGTGCCATTAAAGCAAAGTTATTTTGTTTGTCCCTCCCTCGCGGCCCTATCCCCGTGGCGCTTAAGGGGTTAGGAAACCCCTATCACTTACCTGATTCGAGCACCAGTGTCCTTCGGCTCTGGTTTATGCTCTACCTCAGTACCACCTCTGCCAACGTCAGCCAGCAGGGGGACCCAATGCGTATGCACCCAGACCACGTAAAATGAGTGGTCTGGCTGCCTATAGTGTCCCTTTAAGTTGATAACCCCAATCACAAAACATTTAATTGAAGTTTACAAACCTACCCTCACCTCATACACACTTCAGTAATCTAAACACAGGTGACAACAAATACTGAGGATTAACTCACCTGTGCTTAATGAGAATGAATTAATTTATGGCCTGTTAATGACTTGACAAGGCGTTTTATTAATATAAATAATACAATATTTTAAATAAAATAAAGATTTGTTGTGGTTGAATGTTTGTAATCTATACCAGAACAGGGTTTTTTTTTTTCTATTTTAGTATAATTTGCTAAACTGGTACAGTCATGGAATAATTAGATTACACAATAGACCAAATAATGGCAAGTCACTTCAAATAATATTACTACACATGAGCCATGACATTCAGAGTAGTTTCCGTGAAATAATGCAATAAAACAATACTATAATTACCGCCATGACACCAGATCATTTCACAGTGAGTTAATGTGTGAATTTTCTATTTTCAACATCAATCAGTAGCAATATTACACACATACAGAGATCACTCATGAGAGCCATATTATCAAGACAATTCGTTATCAGAATGCATTCACACAGAACTGTCGAACCCTTAAAAGCAGAAGTGAGAAGCCAGGCAGCTTTGTGGTTGACAGAGGGTGAGAAGACTCCTGTCACAACAACAGCCAAACAGGGTTAAATTGTCTGCTGTTCAAACAGAATTTGAAATTTCAGAACTTAAAACAAAGATTTTAGATTATTTCCAAATAGGATATTTTGGCCTACATTTTGATATTCACTTTAAATTCATACTTTAGTAACCAATCCTGAAGGTGTTAAATACGAAATAAATAGGGAGATTACTCAAGGCAAAAAGTGGTTATTGTGGAACAAAATGCTACAAAAAGAGCAGTCACCATGGAGACCAACAGAATGTCTCAATGTGTATCAAATTGTCTTACAATAGAATCTGTTATGCTTTCATAAGCCTAACTATAAAAGTTTGTTTCCACATTGATTTCAAAGTTTTAAGGGTGGGCAAATCTTGTATCATCACAACTCCCATTATCCTCAATCAAAAAGCAACTGAACGCCTAATACATTGAAAGGCTTAGAATTAGGATATCTACACATGTTACACCAGGGACATCCTCCACACAGGTATTTCAGAGAGTATATTAATGCACACATGTAGCCAAACTTATTCTTGTTACAACAAGTTGATAACAGCCAAGTCTGCTACCATCTACTAGCAGGAATCTGTGGATGGCAGTAAAGAATGGCTGTATCCTCTCTATTCTAAACGTGGTAATTCTGTGGCTAACACTCCACCCTGAGAAAGCTAGGTAGCTCCTATGGGTCAGACACAGACTCATTGAGCACACTATGTCCAGGGTGATGTGGCTGTAGATCTCACCTGTCCACAGGTAGAGTGCTGGGCTCGGCTTGATCTGTCGGAATGTGCTCTTACCTTTCTCAGAAAAACTGTATCTTGGGCCCCAGATAGTGAACACCCCCTCCTGAAGATTTAGGATTTCATGTGCATGTGAGTGAACCCTGGGTGCAGCCTCTCTGTGCTGGGACACACTGAGAAGGTGAGCTGAACACCACACACATACACACCCACCACCCCCGCCTAGAGGAACTGGGAGTAAACTTTCACAGACACTACCCAGGTCCTAATGCTCTCACTGTGCAGCATTTAACAGCAGGAAGTCATAAAGCTCTGCATGCAGACCTGTCCAGCACACATGGGGTTAAAACGTCTATCTGCAATACTCTGTTAACACATTCAGCTCTGGCTGCATGCAGCAGTCAAGTTTACTGAGTAAATAATTAATGCCTGGCTCCATCCATAACCTCCATTCAGTGAAAAGCATTTGTTTATTTTTTATTCATGATAACTGGCCATTGAGATTAATGCTTTGAGTTCCAAAAAGCAATGTAGCTCCCTAGAATAATGCTTATTAGGAATGCACAGCTCCATTTTTAGTAATGAGCCATTATTATTTAAAAAGGAATTGCCAAATTTCTTGGATTTTTTTAGTATTAGGTCTACTTAACCCAAATATTTAACACGGGATTGTGAGGTATGAAATATAAAATGAAATGTGCAAATCAGAACTGATGTATTTTTCTCTATCCGGGAAGTAGGCAAATCTTGGCTCCGTGACTATCCTTAAAAATGTTGCCCTTTCTGGCTTAGTGGAAGAGGAGAAATAGAAACTCCGGAGGTTATGTAGAAAAATTGTTACTAAAAGGTTTGCCTCATTACGAGGGAACCAGGCCAAGGTAGTCCTTGCATCATAAACACTATAGCAGACAAGCCTTTAAAGCAAGCATGTCAAACTCAGAGGCTAGCACGGACCACGTTTAACTTTATGTGGGCCGGAAAAAACCCCAAAACCTTACATTTTCATAGAAACATAGGTTTGCTTTGAAAAGTACAGTATCTAAAAAAAAAAAAACAGCATCCCCTCTTCTAAACCCCACTCCCCCCCTCTGTACTAATCCACAGTCCCCCCTCTGTACTAATTCACAGTCCTCCCCCTCTGTACTAATTCACAGTCCCCCTGTACTTCACAGTCCCCCCTGTACTAATTCACAGTCCCTCTGTACTAATTCACAGTCACCCCCTCTGTACTAATTCAGTCCCCCCTGTACTAATTCAGTACCCCCCTCTGTACTAATTCACAGTCCCTCCCTCTATACTAAATCCCAGCCCTCGTTTAAAAAAAACAAACAAAAAAAACCAATATTAGCCAACAAGCAGACTCCACTCACATTTCCGCTGCCAGTATGCGACTCTGGAGTCCAGCCTCTGGTAAACATCCAATGGCGCCTTCCGCATCCTGTGCCAAACGGATCCTCCTGCTACTCCTTGGAACACTGTGAAGTACGTTGACGTCACGTCAGAATGTGAAGTGGTATTGCGTGCCTCTGTGCACCTCCAGATACTGCACTGTCCAGCCGTGGCCATCGCAACACTGACCAACACTCATTGACACACACACTCACTGACAGACACACACACTCTCTGACAGACACACACACACTGACAGACAGACACACTGACAGACACACACACACACTGACAGACACACAGTCTTCCTGCTCCCTCACGTGCGCAGTTTAGTGATGCCGTAATGACATCATATTTTGGCATCCGGCATCACTAAAGAGGGCGCACGCAAGGCAGCAGTCATGAGCAGGAAGAATCCTCTCCGGCCAGGTAATTTTTGCAGAGTAGGCATCTGCAATGTGGGGCGAGCAGGTGCCTACTCTGCTTTAACACTAAGCATGTCTCAAACTCACGGCTTGCTGGGCCGCAAAAATATTCATTGTGGTCCGCGAGTTTGACATACTTGCTTTAAAGCAAGTATGTCAAACTCGCGGTCCACGGGCCGCATGCGGCCCAGAATATTTTTTACATCATTCCGGCACCCGACATCACTAAACTGCGCACATGAGGGAGCAGGAAGCTGAGCTCCCGAGAGAAGATCAGGGAGAGGCCCCACACCAGCTCCCAAAAGTTGGGAGCAATAAATAAAATGATGCGAGTGTGTGTCTGTCAAAGAGTTTGTGTCTGTCAGTCAGTGTGTGTGTCTGAATGTCAGTCAGTGTTTGTCTGTCAGTGTGTGTCTGTGAGTGTGTGTGTGTGTGTGTCTGTCAGTGTGTGTGTGTCTGTCTGTCAGAAAGTGTGTGTGTGTCTGTCAGTGAGTGTGTGTGTGTCAGTGTGTGTTTTAAACAAGGGCTGGGATTTAGTATAGGGGGGGACTGTGAATTAGTACAGAGGGGGGGGGGTGGCGAAACCAACCCCGCCGCGTGTCCTTGGAGGGGGCTGCTTGCCCGCCTCTTGCCTTTGGACTATGGACCAGACTTTATGTGAATGTGTTAACCCAGATAGCTATGCCATGGAGCCCATTCGTGTAGTTAAAGACTTCGGCTCCATGGCAATTGAACTGTGTGAATAGGATCTGAGCGCTATTCGGTAGTTTTGTGCGCTCAGATCCCAGCTATCTGGGGATATGTGAAATGTCTGTGTGTTATGTGTAAAAGGTGACTTTATGTATTTTAAAGTGTTTTATGTCTTTTTGCAACCATGTGCTCAATGGAGTCTGCCTCTATCCCTGGATAATTGGATTACTTTCCCCCATTGTCTCCAGGATAGAGGGCTCTGTAAAACCTGTTTGAGCCAGATATCCATGTGCCAGCCAGGGCCCAAAAGATACTTTTACTAACTTTTGAACCCCTGGTCGGATTCATGCCATTTTTTAATATGTTGTTCCCCTGAATGGATTGATTGTGAATATGTAATTTTATGTGAATGTGATGTATGGTTTTAGAGTTATGAAAGTTGGGTAGAAAGTATGTTTTAACTGTATGTGTAATTGAGTTTCCTCTCAGGATAAGGGGAGGGAATATGTGGGATGTAACTGATATGTGATTGGTTGTTTTATACCTCCCTGTGGGCGGTCCTGTATGTGAAAGGCTGTAATAAAAACCAGGCTGGGTGTGCCAGCATGTGAGTTCCTGTTTTAACCCTCAAAGTGAAGTGTCGTCTCATTATTGGGGGAAGGATTTATTGTATGCTGTTCCAGTTTGACCTCTAGGAGAGTAAACCTATTCGTATGGTTCCTATTCAACTGTCTACAGCATTCATATGCTTGGGAGAATTTATTTGTTTCTCCGGTTCGGTGATTGTGGTGTCTGCCAGAGTGCTTGGAGTCCTCAGTAAGCGCTAGGAGCATCCTTCAACGGAGGTACCCAGTCGGGGTGCCAGGCGATCCGTTACAGGGGGGACTGGGATTTAGTGCAGAGGGGAAGACTGGAATTTAGTATAGAGGGGGGGACTGTGAATTAGTACAGTGGAGGGGGCTGGTATTTAGTACAGACGGGGGACTGGGATTTAGTACAGAGGGGGATGCTGTTTTTTTTGTTTTTTTTTATACTGTACTTTTCAAAACAAACCTCAGTTTTTATGAAAATTTAAGGTTTTGTTTTTTTTGCGGCCCACATAAACTTAAACCTTGTTTATGTGGCCCGTGCTAGCCTTTGAGTTTGACATGCTTGCTTTAAAGGGACACTATAGGCACCCAGACCACTTCAGCTCATTAAAGTGGTCTGGGTGCATAGTCCCAGGTCCCTTAACCCTGCAAAGGTAATTATTGCAGCAATTGAGTAACTGCAATAATTACTATCCAAGGTTCACCCTACCTCTAGTGGCTGTCTGGTTAGGTGACTATTGGTTAGGTCCGGCGTCACCCGAAACCCCATAGGAAAACATTGTGTAATGCTTTCCTATGGGGGAAGTCCTAATGCGAGCGCAGCACATGAGGTCTCCCCCGCCGGCTGATGTTAACGGGGGAGGAGCAGGGGCGGAGCCCAAGTTTTTAGCCCCTTCTGAGCCAAGGGGATAGAGAGGGTCACTATAGGGAGCTACAATGCCAGGAAAACAACTTTGTTTTCCTGGCACTATAGTTCCCCCTTAAGCCTGCCAACCTGACACCAATGTTCCTGCACACAGGCTGTGGGCCTTGGCAGTAGACAAGTCAGGAACAGGGCCTGTGCCATCTTACGTGCATCACGTGGCTCTGTGAATCTTGGCCACACTCCTGCAAGATGTCGATATACTAAGGGAGAGTTCAGCCCAGAATCACAGAGCTGCGCATTGCGCATAATGGAGCACAGTGCAGATTCATGAGGTAATGCGGGCAAAGTGAAGGTAGATGGGGGCAATGTGACATGGATGTAAGCAACTTGGCATTGATGTAGACATAAAATATAGGCAATGTGGCCTGTGGGCATTATAATGTGGACACAAACTGAAATGTAGACAATTTGGCATGTGGGCATAATAAAATGAAGGCAAACTGAAATATACGTAGGCATAGTAAAATAAAAGCAAACTGAAATATATGAAGGCAATGTGGCATGATGTGGGCATAAAAAAAAATAAAAAAAGAGGCAAACTTTAAGTGACGTGTGTCTTGTATACATTTTGATTGATAGGCACATGTTTATGCTAATTTAAACTTTTAACCATTACATTGCTGCTTCAACCTCGTAGAATGTCAAGACAATGTATATTGTACATTAAATAATACAGTCCACACTCCAAAGGCATAATAATATAGCTTGCAATCATATCTGTATTATATTAAAACATGGTAATACAGTTTCATTAGCCACGAGAGAGAGGCTGCGACAAATTATCTTGAAACTATTTTAGGTTTACATTTGCACAAGATTTCCGTGCATGCATACTTTTGTAACAGGAAAAACATTTGCACAACAAAATATTTCTGTGCAGTGTGTACACCAACTACTAAAAACGAGAGGTTACATTGCCGCTGACACCCTAGTTTTTGGCAGGCCTGCAATATTGGTCACTAGTGATGAGCATTGTATCAGTGACTCCCCCTCATCCCACACAGATTTTATGCAGTATAATCAGTGCCAGATTATCAATTAGGTGATCAAGGCAACTGCATAGGCTCAGACAGCCCTGTCACTGAGCGGGCCCTCCTTAAATCAGCAAGAATCTGCTCTCACTCACTTCACCAATATTAGGTACAGA